AACTGAGCTTCGTCTGGCCTCTTCCCATTGACGCTTTAGACGTGATTGGATCTGCGGCTGTGAGCAGACATCTGGTATAGCTCGCAGGGAGGCCCGCAAGCCAGCACACCACATCAAGGTGCAGTCTCATGTTGATGTCAATGTGCACTTTCGTCGTGATGGTCCCGGTATAGCCCCGAATGTTGGTATTTCGTCCTTTCACTGTGATGGTACAACTCTTCCGTCACGGGAAGGCAGGAAGTCGGGCTTCCTCAGGATAAGCTGTTTGAGACGCTTGGTTACTTCTCGAGGTGCATTGGAGAGGTGATTAGTCGCAATCCAAGACACCCACTCCCGACCTTACTGAAACTTTCGGAGGCGGTCCGTTGTTTGAGCTCCGTCACAACTACTTCATTTGCAAACAGTTCAAACTTCTTTTTTCGAATTATAGGACTCATAGTAGCGGACATCGCGTTCATCCCTGGAATAGTCATAACATGAATAGTGTAGCGTTCGCGTATTATGGATTCATTACCATTGGCTTATGCTCATTTCTTATCAATCACAAATATACACTCAAGCTGAAGATGGACGTAAACTTGCGATATGTTTTTAGCTATTTTTCATCACAGAATTCGTTGCTTAGCGCACAGCCAATTATTTACAGTCCCCTAACTTTATTTTCTACAACCCCTAACCTTCCTTCTGACAGTCAAGATCACGCGAAAAAGACTGTGACAATGGAACAACATCCGCATCTTTCCGGTCCACCGATGCCCTCAATCCATCCGTGTCGTCAGGCCGAGGTAATGCGTAAACTGATCGGAGCGGTGGCCGAAGGTGGTGCAGAGTTGGCAGTTCACCAATACCTCATGATCTTTTTAAAGTTTGTGCAAGCTGTCATTCCCACAATCGAGTACGACTATACTCGAAGTTTCTCCATGTCATAATCGGGTTCCTGTACTCTCACGATACTGTCAGTCTTTCGTCTTTTCATCTCCGTATTGCACTATAGCCGATTGCCATTTTTCTTTCTGTTTGTATGATTTCTTTCTTTGTGTGCAACACTTCTTCACTCCGAATCATGCCGTTTTATTCCCAATATCGGACACTCATGTTTGTTCAATCCGCAGGACCTCTATTCGTGTTTAAATGAATGCCATTTACTGCTTTGTGCCAAATCACATCCAATGCAGTACCTCACGAGTAACTTTTCTCTCTGTCTTATCTGTTTCCACCTTGTAATCCTTTGACCAGTCCGCACGTTTTGACATTCATATGTTCGGATCAATCAGTCTTAGATACCATGCTGATATATGCACTGAAAGTTTACGTGTTTAAATATAAGCGTACTGATTCACTTTGATTCGGATTACAATCTCCGATCCCCTTTTTTCGTGCCTCTGCTTCTTTCCATGTCTGTCTGCAAGTGTTTTCTGTTTCTAAATACGAATCTGGAGATGACTTTGTACCCATAGGGTTTTATTGTGGTTATATGTTCCCCTCTCAAACCGACTAGTTAATTACGACTCAGTTAAGTGACTAACCAGTTAGTGCTCGACGGTAGTTCGTGAAGTGTTAACTGACGCTCGATTTTATTGTCACAGTACCCAGGTCATCATTATCTTAACTAATCGTTCATCTTCAAGTGCGAATTTTTGGATTGCCTCTAAAAGCCAGTCGCATTTTCATGATGTCCGGTTGATATAACATAAGGATTAGATGGATGACCTATTAATTGTCACCNCCCTCCTTTTCTCTCAGTGTTTGGGTTACTTTCTTCTGTGGCACAAAACTGGCAGGAAGTGGAGCAACTTCATTCACCCATTCTTGATTGAGTTTCGTTAAGCTCTAAGGACAAGGAAAGGGAATCGTGAAGTTTCACTACGCAACCTTGACTGAGGCCTACCAATCAGTGATTGTTATCTGGCCGTATCCTGGCGAAAGACAGTTCAACTTTCTATCCCATTGCACAGGTTTCGGATGAACTAACGAAGCACGAATATGCGGATAATCATGCCATCGATGCTGTATACGTGTTGCTTCTGTAATGCTTGGAAGGATTCAGTTGAAGTCACGAGTAGTTCGCCGACGGACTTTGGATATACTATGCATTGATGCTTCAATATCAGCTAATCAAACAGTTGTTCTCGTCTTCTGATCGGTTATAGTGATCCAATAACTTGAGGTTCGTCTTCGCTGCTCTATCGGAATCTTTCTATCCCCATTCCAATTTGAGTGGATGCATTGGTGCTGTCGGCTGGTACCACGGTTTTTGATCATAATGACAATGTCCTATGAGATTTCATGGGGAACAGCTTGATCTTTTCGATTCGGGAACGATTCACGGTACCAGATTACCCAGTTAACTCGATTTGTTCATTAAAAGTTTTTCAAGTCTCAACTTGAAGCTCTCAAACAGACTATACTCGTAAGAATGCAAATTCTTCTGCGTTTTACGCAAAAAATGCTGCTAAATATACTATTGGTCAATTTGTGACGAGAATTACCCTTATCCACCAAATCCCAATATATGGATTGTTTCAACTGGTCATCTCGTTTACTCCTAATCTAGTATGTAGATGAGATGATAACGATCGACATGTCCAATCCCCGCGCAAGTACATTAATTTTCTCTAAGCTACTCATTTGCGTATAACGATTGAGATTGCCAGGGTAAACATTCGAACCAAATCCCACTCGAAATCCATCACAAAAAGGTAAACATGCAAATATTTTTGTTAGAAGGTTTCGGTCCAAATAAGTGATGTGCATGTTTCCAATCGAGTTAGCAGCAGTAGCTTTATGCACTCGGTTAAGCTAATTCTCGGCATTTTACACCATATGGCTATAAATTTACGAAATATGAAATTAAAATTATCAGCTTTTTCCAATTCCTGGTTTTATCGTGGTGCACATCTATTTCTACATTGTCTTCAGACCATCGTTGTTTCTCGTACCTCAGATCTATCTTGTTTTATGGTGTATGATTGTTGGTTCAATGGATTATAAGTGCTGAACATACATATCGTTTTTTTTAAACCAGTGAATTGATGAAAACCATCGTTTTGTATGCAGCCATTACTAATCATGTGTGAACTTCGATCTCTTCAACGGTTAGATATAGTTCGTCCTCGTCATGTGATGATAGAATACTCTGTGATTATGTGCATGTTCATGGGGCAATCGAGTCAGCTGATTGTATGATTTCTAACAACATTCTAAATATTGCGATGCAGCTGACTAATCTTTGTTGGACTACTAATTCAGTGTTATTGATCATATTTTCAAGGAATTATTCCCTCTATTTTTTAGGCTGTTATTGGTTTGCGTGTGGTGTCTCGTTTCGTAACATTAAACGAACTTGAACAAAGAACATAACACTGCAAACGAGCATGATTTAACTTACATAGTTTCAAATCAAATACGGAGTTGGCCGTACTTCCACCTGACAAAGGATCTGGTGCCGTCGTTATGGATATGATCGAATACAAGGAGAGAATGTGTTTATCACTAAGTGACGAATCAAGGTTTGTGCCTGAAGAGAAAAGGCCACAGGATCCTCGCGAACTAGAAAGGAAGATATCATCAGAAATACAATTTTTATTTGAAGGAAATTTCATAAATAAACCACCGCCAAAACACTCAAATCCATCGGTACTCAAACACCACAAATGCATGAGTTACCAAAAGTGCATAAACCTGGTATACCACTTCAACCAATAATGTCCATGCGAAATTCTCCCCAACACAATATGGCCAAGTGGGTCGTTAAAATGCTGAAGCCGGTAAGAAAATCTATTGCAAAGTACTCACTGAAGGATAGTTTCGAGCTAAACATAAATGACTGTCATATGGCATCGTTCGATGTCGCTTCTTTGTTGACCAGTGTGTCTGTTGTGGAAACTATACAAATCATCTGTTACTACGTGTTGGAGAAACAAATCCAGTTGGGCATTCACCTTTCTGTCCCGGAGCGCCTACCCATTCTATGCACAACGGATGTACACTTCAGTTTTCGAGGTCGGCGATTTAGACAAGTCGATGGCGTGGCTATGGGCAGCCCTTTGGGTCCTATTCTAGCTGACTTATTCATGGTTAGTCTGGAGAACAAAGCCAGTAGGACATTAAACGGTATTGTACGTCGATGACACGCTGATAATCACCCGAAGCACCAGGGAGACCGAGCAGTTGTTGGCTGAATTGAATTCCTTTCACACAGATATCAATTCACTATGAAAGCTGAGCAGAACAACACACTCCCATTTCCAGATATTGTTATTGGGCGAAGATCAGTCGGAACTATCTCGAGGTCCATGCATAGAAAATCTGCGTGGACCAGGCAGTATATGCACTTTAGGAGTTTTTTTCCGATCCAATACAAACGAGGTCTCGCGCGTACCCTGTTTGATCGAGCTATGCGATTGTGTACTCCGGATAACGTGGAAAGTGAGCTAATTGGACTATTGGAAACTTTAAAGCTCAATGGTTACCCAGCGAGGTTAATACAAAGGCACAATGCACAAGCCGAACCCAAGACCTCGGTAATGGCAGCACCAAAATGCGACGTTCTCATTCAACTACCGTTCAAGGGTGACGATGTGGGTCAACTTGTACGAAGACGGCTGGTAGCATCGGTAGCACGCACATATTTTGCTGCAAATCCGGTCGTTCGCTTCACCACAACCCAGACTCCGAAGTCCTTGATGAAATCATCACTCCCTCTGTCCGCCAAATCACACGTTATCTAAGAATTCCAATGTGGATGCGCAGCCACCTAAATGGGCAGAACAGAGAGGTAGCTGTGCACCCGAGTGGCAGAACATATACCAGCATGGGTCGAACGCGAACGGATCAGATTGAGGGCTACACAAATAACCAGCCCACCAAGCCAGCCGCAAAGAACACCTGCATCATCCATTGCTCGCCATCTGCTGCAGACTGGACACCAAGCCGATCGCGGGACTTCTTTTCGGGTTGTTTACACAACCTCGAATGGACGGCTGCTGAAATTTGCAGAGGCCATAGCAATCAAGCACCGAGAGCCCCTGATTTGTCAGCAAAAGGAGGTCTACATCAAACTGACATCACCCTGGTAATCACGTAAGCGAAAGAGTGAATTGATAGCATGAGAGATTATCAACACCTGTGATATATCAACTGATTTGTATTATGCAGTAAGCACCAGTTGAGATACAGCGAAATGATTCCGGAATTAAATCGTGTTCGTTTGCAGTGTTGTGTTCTTTGTTCAAGTTTATTTCGGGAAATGATCGCTTTCATTAAACGAAATGCTTCATCACGTCGGATGGAGATGTAAAATTGCCATTTTCTTGCAATCGGGTTTACGTATGGATGTTGATGGAGCCTGACTAGTAATATTTGCCCAAATAGTATTTCGCATGTCTCGTTGCTTGATTTCACTTCCTTATTTCTACTTTTGACATCTGATGCGTACGTGTACGTATATTCCCACACACTTTTCCAAATACACGGGTGAGATACGGAGTGAGGTGGGCCCAGTAGGTGGGTAGTGCACATTTCTCATGAAATACGGAGTGTTCCAGTTTGCATACTCTCCTCGATTTTGAATCTCCTTCATCACGGTATAAGAAAGTGATCTTTTCGAATCGCTATACGGCCTCACTTCCTACCCACGTTCTTGCTAAAATTAAAAACTTAGGCAAGAAGCCTCACCATTGCTTGTGTATCGGTTGGTTTATCAAATTTAGTCTGCACCTTGACATGGACAGCGGTTAACGGCGATTTACACTCCGGCTCCGAATCTGCTTCTCGTAGACTATAATCCCTTACAGCTCTATCCTAAAAAGGTTGTCATTCGGCTTTTTTGCGTGAGTCGCAGCGTTTACTAAGGAAAATACAATTAATTCCTAACCTTTGATCTGCGAGGTATTGTACTATATCAAAGAACCGGGATGAATAGTGCATT